TTAATGCATTTGCAAAATTGTTTGTGTTGGATATAACCTCGGTCACGTCCAACCTTCTGCTCCAAACAGCAGCAACTCTGAGTACTTTGGTCTTCTCTGTACCAGCTATCACCTGTCCAGTTTTTCTCTCTGAATCTTTACTGCTTGTGTAATAGTAGAGGTTTTCATGTGGCACTGGAGTCCCATGCTGCTTTCAGCTTTAGTTGTGTTTTGACTTCCCTGGCAGGGGTGCTGCATGCCTGGGCAATGTTGTGTATTCTTGCCTTGATAGGCTGTTGTTGCTTCTTCCTCCTTAGGACAAGCTGCTGATTAATCTGTTTATTTTGCTGGGTTTTGGGATGTACTGCTTGTGTGTGGTTAGTAATTGTCCTTAAATACTCCCCAATTTTCTTGAGCTCTTTTTCTTTTTAGAACTGGATTCCACAGGACTCCAGCTGCTGGCTAAGTCAGTCTGCTCATTTGAAGTGCAGGGTCTGTGCTGGATTTGCCTTCCTCCTCTCAGGATTTTGAACGTCACTATTTCATGGCCAAGTGGTCATGGTCAAGGCTGCTGTTGATCCCATCCCTGGCAAGTTCTTGGGGTTTTTAACTTGAAAGCAATCTCAAGAAAATATCAAATGAGGATTGACTCATTTAGTGCTGTTTTTCTCTGAAATCTTTCGGAAACCTCTTGGAGTTTTGTCTCCTGCTGTGTTGCCCTTCTAGTAGATGTCACAGAGCTGAAATAGTAACCAGTCTCTGTCATTTTTAGAAACTTTCTGGAACTGCTGAAGTAGTTTTCATCAGGCTCTTATCCTGACCGTGTGATTTGTAACAAACTTTGACTGTGATGTTTCCTTTAATCCTGACCCACAAGCTCTTAGCCAGGCTGTTGTCTGTCCTGTAGAACAGCTTTTTGTGTTCCAGCTGCTCCTACAGGTAGAGGGCAGGTCACCTGCTGTTCTTCCTGTTCCTGGCGTTGTTTAAAAGCTTGTGTCCACTCATGACAAAGCACCGGTCATGCAAGCTGTCCCACGCACCCCACTCTGTGTCAGTTCTGTGTACAGGTGCTGTAGGTGGCTTCCCTTTTAACATGGTTCATCCTCACCAGGGTATCCCTTCCACCAACCTGACCCAGGTACTTCCCATGGCTCAGTGTCTATTCTCTCCTTGACTGCCAAGTTCAATTACCATTCCCTGGCAGATCTCTCATTTCCAGGGCTCATCACCAGCTCTGATGAGGTCTTTCATATCCCACTTCCTTGACTGGATCCCATCTCTAACTTAGCAGCCCTTGTTTCTCAGGGGTACTTGTGGCCATAAAAGTCCAAGTGCTCCTTGCAGTGCCATTCCTGTAGTGAGTTCTTAACTTGAAGGATGTGTCTCTACAAGCCTTTCCCCCCCTACAGGAAAAGAGCAAGGAGAGTAAGCATCACCTGGGATCCCATGTCCTCCTTTGCCCCTGGAGTTTTCTAACCACGCTAGATTTGCTCCATCCAGGTCTCTGTTAATAGCAGGTAATAATTAAGTGGGAAAGAAACAAAAAAGAAAAGAAAAAGGCACTAGTGGTGATGATAATAAAGGTCAGAGGACACTTGACAATCTCTGACATGTCAAATTGGCCAAGCCTCCTTTTCCAGCATATCTGGCAGCTGATGTCTTCTCTGCAGAAGGAAATCTCCAGCTAGTATTACCTGCCCCTCCCTTGTGTTGCTAATGCTTAGTCCAAGCCCAGCTAGCTCTGACTTGTACCTTAATTGAGGCGCTTGCTGCCTCTGCATGCTGATGTTGACCCAAAAAAAAAAGTGGAAAAAATATTTGTGTTTGCAGCTTTACTGTAAGGAAAAGACTGTGAAACAACTGGTATAATGAAAAAGAGGTGTTGGGAGAAGTGCAGTAAGAAAGGAATTGAGATTTATGGAAAAAGCTCTGATAATTAGAAGGCTCAGACTGATGTTTGAGTACCTCTCTGAGCAGCTAATGTGTGCTGGAAGCTTCACGTGCAGGAATGATTGTTGGGATTGTTTTGCTGAGGATTGTGTGCTTTAGCTTTCATTAACGTGTTTGCATGCAGTCAGTGTGCATGAAAATACTACTTGGTCTTCAAAAGTATCAAAAATCGAAACTTTAAAAATATTTTTATGACGATCTTCTATTTTGAGCAAGGCTCTTCAGGGTGTTGGGTTCTGCTTTTATTTGGCATGTGGTTACTATGTTGATTTGTATGTTTGGGTCAGAGAAATGAGTGCTGTAGTAGAAAGTGAAACATTTGCTGTTTCTGGCTTTTAAAGCACTTGGACCCAGCTGCCAGGCAGTGATATGTAGGACTACTGGAGTCTAGTTTCCTAGGAGTGTGTCTCTGAAATGTAGTGCTTCCAGCTTTTAGCAAAATTTTTCTTCCCAGTTGCCACTTTCTCAGTGTTTTGCCATGAAATTGTGTAATGTCTACTTTGAAATTATACTCGCATGAGTTGTCTGGCAATGAAGAAGCAAGAGATAGTTGAAGAATCTAATACTTATTAGCTATATCAGTACAAATGAGTACTTGGGGGACTTCTGTTTGTACTGGATTGTTATTTCTTTTATATTTGTTTTGAAATTGTCATCGAAGAGATGAACAAGTAACAGCTGAAGAGGGAGGGAAATAATACATTGATTGTACAAGTCCCATTTGTTTAGAAAAGTAGTCAAAAAAATCAGCACATGAATACTCATCTGTCCTTTTCTTTTCTGGCCATGTTGTGTTTCAGCAGGTAACAACTGAAAATCACAGGGGTTGATACTTTTTTAGTAGTAGGGATGTGTCATACTGCCTTCAGAGTATGAGTTCCATTACCCACTATCTGCTGTGAAAAGACAGAGTGTTGCTCTTACGTGAATTATTGTCCCATTTGTGAAATTCTCAGCAGGGTCTCTTGTGGGGAGGGGAAAGCAAATGTGTGTGCCGTGATCCTTTTTTGTGGAACTTCAGATGGCAAAGTGACTGTGACTGGAGATGCCGCCACAGAGTAGCAGCTCTGCTTCAGTGATTTACTTCAGAATGAAAGCTCCTAATTTCCCAGGTTACAGATTTGAGGCTTTTAAGGATGTAAGTAATATCATAATGTATTTCATTATCAGTCACTTGAACTGCGTTTGAGTTCGCATCTCTTTTCTTTCATGTAGTAATGTTGAAGATGCAATTTGGAGATGAACTGGAGAGTATTGTATTACAGTTCCCTAATGAGGCCATGGGGGGAAGGGAAACAGAAGAGTATGGAAGTTGCTGAAAAAACAGTTCAGGAATTTACATTAGTAATGTAAATGCTACTGTGTGTTATGGAAACATTAATGTACTTTAAATCTACCCATAAACAGAGGTGGTACTAGTGTTGTCTTTGCTTATTCAGAGTTTTAGAATGGCTAGTTTGAAAATCTGAAAAGATCTTTTAGGAGGGGATAGGACTACTTAGTGGCAGAGAATTAATTGTTCAGATCTGTTTGCTGTGGTCAAAAAAGAGGTAGTACCAATCGAATGGAGTTGTCTTTGAGAAGGTGTACGTTGTTGGTAAGAGACATTGCACATAGATCTCTTTCCTACCTCAAGTTGATGTGGATTTTTTTGGTTGATGTTGCTTTTTTTTTTCCTTCCACCAGACTGAGGGTAATGTCATGAAAAGTAATACCATGAATGGTAGGAAGCATAATAATCCTACCTAGTTTTTTAATAATCAACTACGATGAAAGGCTTTTCTAGCAGGCTGTAGTCTGGAATTTAGTATGTCAAGTAATTTCTCTTTCTGAAGGATTTTTTAAAATAGCTGTTAAAGATCCTGTTGTTTTGTCATCAGGAAGAGAATGCAAAGACTTGCTAGAGAGCAAAATTTTAAAAAAAGTGGAAGGATATCTGTTGGGTCCCTTCCAACTCATCATATTCAATGATCTACTGAAGGAAGCTCCTCTACTTCACTGGAGCTCCTCTACTGTATGGAGAAGTGCAAGTTAGAACAAAAAAGCACTGTGTGAAATGATTTTAAAGACGTTTCCTTCTGAGGCTGTTACTTTACCTCTGTAAAAGGCACCCAAGCCATCTATCTTCCTCAGGCTGTCCACTCTCCTGGTGGCCTTGCAGCTCTTGTGGCTGTGTTCACATCTGTGTGTGTCTAGCAACCTGCACGCATAAACTGACCAAAAATCTGAGCTTGGTTTCCAACAAAACAGTTGATGTAACAGTGCCAAACCTATTTCCATCATGAGCAAAGGGTATATTTCCACATCCTGGCTGTGATGTGCAAGCCTGTACATTTGATATAAGGCAAGGCTGTGTTTGTGGTGAAATGGGGAATCTTGCTTTAGGCCTTTTGAGTAGCTCTTTTTGTGTCACTATATGGATTCTTTTTCAGGGTTGAATTGAGGAAAATTTGTTGTTTGGAAGCATATTTGCCTAGAGGCATGCAGATAAGGATTGCACAGCCTTTGTAGAGGAGTAAAACAAGCAGAACAGACAAACAAATGCAGAAAACTCATTGAGATTTTTGGAAAAGATTAATTTGCCTTCTGTCTCCCTGAAATGGAGGAGTCCTTGTAATAGAAGGTGAAGTAACTTACGTCCAACCTAGGACTTCTCATGAATTCTGTCTGTCCTGGCAGACTTCACTGCTATTCCATACTTTCATTTTACAGTGAGGGAGTAGTGGTAAGGTGATTATGTAGTGACTCAAAAACCTGCTGTGGAAAATGTTTAGCTTAGGATTGTGTGGGACGTGAATTGTGCAAAAAAAAAAACCAAAAAAAAACCAAAAAAAACACAACCAAAAACAACAACTATGGGTTGAAAGCTGTAGCTGCCTGTTGGATGTAATTCCAAATGAGCAGCACGGGGCTTTGCACTGTGTTGGGTGTCAGGGTCTGCACAGGCTCCCTTCAGTGGTGACAAGTCTGACCAATGGCATGATTTCTATAAGGAAAAGTATGTGATAGAGCACTTACGGTGAACAACTGTGTCTGACTGGTTCTCAAAACATAAAAATATATTTTTATAGGTCTGACAAGAAGCCTAACTATAACTTCAGTTGACCCATCAATGTTTGAAAAAGCACAAGGAGAGAAAGTTACATTGCCATGTACTTTTGAACTCTCGGAAGAAGATGAAGGACCACTAGATATTGAGTGGGTATTGATACCAGCAGACAACCAAAAGAAGGAACAAATAGTAAGTAGAGACTTCTCTTTGGACAGTGTTAGTTCAGTTGTTTCAGTAGGTCAATGTATGAGGTTTTTACTGACTCTTTAAAGTTCCACCTTTTCAGGTTGGGAATGCTTGTGATCTTAAATTGCTTTGAAGCACAAGTCACATGAAATCTAGTGGAAGTTTTGAAATACTGGATTAAGGATGAAATGTTAAGACATTTTTCACTATAAACTTGCCTTCTAATGAAGAACTTCCAAATTAAATAGACTTCAGTTCCAAAAAGCAAACTTTGCTTTTATACCTGTGTTATCTTCCTTATTGAAAATAGATTCATGAGGACTTAATTTTAAATATATTAACTCTTTTAGTTCTTAATGCTTTCCTGTCTTTGAAAACCTTGTAAGTAAGATGATTTATATTAGTAGGCAGGTTTTGCAGAGTTAAATTGGAGCAATTCTAAACAGTTTTCTTTGAGTCAGAAATCAATGCTGACATATTGGTACTTGGTCAGGTGTTTAGTTGGAGTATTCACTATAATGCTGTGTGTGGTGATATTTTGAAGGTGGAGATATTTGACTCACTCTGTTTTATTTCTGGGGTTAAAACTATAGAAAGAAACTTGAGAATTCAAAGAGATGAAATGATTTTAAATGTTTGCACACTAAGTGGATTTCTGAATAATATTTCTTTTTTTTTTTTATAGATAATTATGTATGCTGTAGACAGGGTTTATAATCATTATTATGCTGGTTTGACTGGGCGAATGCAGTTTACTAATCTTGATCCCAGATCTGGTGATGGTTCATTGGATATTCTGAATTTAAAGGCATCAGACACTGGCACATATCAGTGCAAAGTGAAGAAGGCTCCTGGAGTTCAAAGCAAAAAAATACAGTTGACTGTACTTGGTAAGATAATTTATTTTCCTGAATTTTCAGTGATTTTTTTATATGCTTATTCCACCCTATTTTCAGTGTCTGAAATGAAAGCTTCAGTTGGGCAGTGTTGTACTGAATCTGTGGTGATTATGGTCATTATTGAGGCCTTGGGAGGGGTGGGCATAATTCTGTTCTGGGAAATTAAGGGAATGGTATTTAGAATAATAAGCATTTATAGAACTTGTATTTTGTAGAAAAGACTTTCTGTGCATAGAAATGGTTTGTGGCACAAACTTTATCTTTCACAGAATGGACTGGCTGCTAGAACACAACTAGGAAACATTTTGATTGTGACTGTTATTAATTCAGTGATGTTTTGTTTATTAGTAAAGCCAGCACGGACTAAATGTTCCATTGAAGGATCACAGGAGATTGGAAAAGACGTTACCTTGAAATGTGTGTCACAAGAAGGATCCCCACTTTTGTCTTACGACTGGAAAAGAGTATCTGGCACGCAGAATCTTCCTGCCACTTCCGTGCTGAGTACTGTCAAACTTCATTTATTACTCTGAAATAATTAAAAAGATTGCAATATTATTTTTGGCTTATCCTGACTTGTAAGCATGTCTGGGTTAGTATTACTCTAGAGTAGTCAAGATTAAATGCCACTTCTGCCCTCTAACAAAACTGACTTTGAAACAAGCTGGAGTTGATTCTGGTTTTTAATTCATTCTTGGAAATGTTTCAAGCTTCAAGTTGAGATTCTTATCATTAAGAGCTGCGGTAGCATGCGCACCTGTGCCCAGATGTTGTTAGTTCTCCTGCTTGCTGATGGTTTTGCTTTTGTGCTTAAGTGAACAGTAGGGAATTCAGATGTGGCTTCAATATGATTTAAAAAAAGCAAAAATCTTCATTTTTTTGTAAGCTTCTGCATTCTATTAGAGTATGTAATATCTTAAAATACAGATCCCTAAAAATCATCTACAAAGGAAGAACCTTAGTACTGTTCTTCATTTTGGACTTGACTCCTGGTCTCCTATTTGATGTCTCTTATTTATTGTTTTGACAGTGAATCTGTTGATCATTAATGTCCTCTGTACCACTCAAGATTTTAGGCTACTGTTGTTTTGCCCGTTCTGTCTCTACATCACAAATTTGTTTTGTGGTAACAAAAAGAAATGGGCAATGTCAGTGCTGGACAAGAATGAGTGGGACATTGTGCAAGAGTGACTTGCAACTTGCAAAAACCATGTTAATTTTGGGTTTGTGAATGTATTTTGGGGACACTGAATGTGTTCTATAGAATATAGACCCTATCTAACTTGTTCAGCAGATAGAGCTAGTCAAATGCTGTGGAATACATTTCTAATGGGATAAGACTTACAAAAAATAGCATTTTACAGCATGATAGAACTGTTTTAATATGGTTTGTTTCGTATAGCATTTTTTAAGTTAAAATTTCATGTGTATGCTGGTTTAATAATTCTGTGATATTAAATATGGAATTATATTTAGGAAAATGGTAAGCCTCTACCTTCTGTTGTTTGTAGATAAAAATACAGGGGAACTTCTTCTGAAAAACGCCTCTCGAGAGTATTCTGGTAGATACAACTGTGTGGCCACAAACAGAGTTGGCACGGATGAATGTTCTGTTGAGCTGAATGTCACCCCTCGTAAGTGTTTGCTGTGTAATAGTCACACAGTGTTCTTGTATTTAAGCTGAACAGCCTTTTTCTCTAAACTCCTAAATGGTTAAAAACCCCAGTGCTCTTATGTAATTTGTGGGTGCCACTTCAAGTCTTACTGTTTTAAATGCATGTGATTGAGCACTCCCCCTCTGATTCAGTGATTCAGTATTATTGACCTGCCTCATGTGAAAGATACTGGGCTTAATGTTTAAAGAAAGGTCTTATAGCTTTACATTTAACAAACAGTATTGTTATTTGTCTATTCTAGCCGTAAATACAGCTGGTATAATTACTGGAGCTATTATAGGAACTCTGCTGGGTCTCTCTGTACTGTGTTCTATCATCTTCTGTTTTTGTAAGAAGCACAGAGAGAAGAAATACGAGAAAGAAGTACATCATGATATCAGGTAACAACGTGTCTCTATTTCTGAGCAGTATTATTGGAAGATTAACTTTTAAATGTGTATTTCTGCAAATAAGTTACTTAACAGTTGAGATTTGTCTTAATCTGGAAAGCTTATTATAACACTAATGGCTTGTCGGAGAACTTTTTGTGGTTTGTCTAATTTCAGCAAACATTTTAGAGGCAATGAATATTGAGGGTTTGGGGGGGTCTTTTGTTGCTTTAAAGGAAGACATAAGGATATTTTTTACTACATTGGAATAGAAAAAACCCAGACTGAATATTTGTTTTAAAGTAATGGTGACTGAACTCTTGTTCTGCAACTGATTTTTTTTTTTTTGGTGTGTTTTGTTAATTTCAGAGAAGATGTTCCACCTCCAAAGAGTCGCAGTTCTACAGCTCGCAGCTACATCGGCAGCAATCGTTCTTCCCTGGGCTCAATGTCTCCCTCCAACATGGAAGGATTTACCAAAACTCCATATAGCCAAGTCCCAAGTGAAGACTTTGAACGTGCTCCTACTCAAAACCCAGCCTTTGCACCTTCAAAGGTAGCTGCACCTAATTTAAGTAGAATGGGAGCTGTTCCTGTGATGATTCCAGCACAAAGCAAAGATGGGTCGATAGTATAAAATATTATTAATTTAAAAGCTGTTTTTTTAAAGTGTTCATTGTAAGTATTAGAGAAAAATACTGTGTTCCATCCCTCATTTAAACACTGGCATGAAATTTTCCTTGAAGAGAATATACAAATGAGTTTGAAAAGCCACCAATTCTCATGTTTAATTTTAAACTTATTTGCATATGATAGTTGAACTATTTGCTAAAAACGTTGAACTTCATAAATAAATATCGGACACTGAAGGTATTTTGACCTCTGGTAGGTTGCTGAGGAGGTTCTGACACTGTCAGCTAATGTACAGTTCTGAATGTGTAACAGTGAGACACAGGTGAGAAGTAACAAAAGCATTTCATGTGTAGACCATGAAGTTTCTCAGAGTTCCTGAGATTTTATTCTCAGTTGTGGAATAACAAAAATATTTTAACTTGGCCACTGTCTGGTATAGTTGCAGGGGGCTGAAAATACCAAGGATGACTTTGAATTCTGTTCAAATTGAGTATTTATGTGGTTCTTTAACCTGGTGATGTTTGTTTGGAGTACTTGAGCTCTTATTTCAGGGGCAGACAGTCATTTGATTGGTTCAATTTATTTAATTAATCTGTTCTGAATTTAAAAGGGCAATGAGTGGAAGTGTGACAGAAAACCTTGCAAGTTCTTTGAAACACAAATTTTTTTACAATAACTAGTTCTGGTCCTGTCAGATAACTTAATACTTATGTTATCTGATGCAAGAGGTCCTATCAGATTGTTGATAGAAGTATCTAAGCTCTAAAACCTACAGACCAACTCTTACTGTCACAGTAAGAATGAGTTAATGCATCTTTACACAGGTCTTGAAGTTAGTTGTACCTTGCATTTTCCAATGCCTGGTTAGATACTGAGGCAGTGCTCTTAGTTTTTTCCCAAAGCAATTTCCTAGAAGCTCTGTGGGGATTTGATGAGACCTCTTAAGTAACTGGTATTTGATGTCTGTCCTCTTGCTCTAACCACAGTGGAAGCAACTTTTCTCATATGCCCCTAAGCAGTAGTCAGTCCTTGTTCAAGATGTTAATGTCTGGCTGTATGAATCTGCAAGGAGAGAAAGCTCATTTTTTCTTGCCTCTTTAACAACCCTAAATATTCTGAACCAATGTTCAGACTGTGGAGGGCAAGCATTTCATGTAACTGAGAGAAAACAATTACCCAGAATTGTTGATACAAATCTCATGTTGCAAGATTGAAAACACTTCTTCCCAATTTTGCAAACTTAAAGCAATACAGGAGAAACACAACAATTCCTTGTCTTACTTTCACATGTATTTAAGGACTTCTGGTAGCTTCTGATGACTGTTATATACCTGCAAAAGCTCAATTTAAAACTCTGTACAGTTTGAATCTGTGAATTCTTTCTTCCTTCCTGTTTTCTACCTTCTTTGTCTTGTGCTGGGGAGCAGGTCGGGGAGAGTTTGTAGCTTACTCTAGCTAGAGATGTTGAACTGCAAGGTATTTTGGAAAACTGTAAATTCATTACAGTATGTGCAGTGATGTTGATGAAGGAAGCTTACTCTAGCTAGAGATGTTGAACTGCAAGGTATTTTGGAAAACTAAATTCATTACAGTATGTGCACTGATGTTGATGAAGGAGATATCTGAATAGCCTGTTGAAAGATGTTAGGATTATTTGTGTGTAGCAACAGTGAGAGAAAACAACATTAACCCAGACCTCTAAGTTTATTATCTGCTTATCTGTAGCTGCCTATACATACATCTGTGATGAATTCTTTGGCTTACTACTAAATGTTTGTCCTATCTGTAAATAGGTGCACAATTTTTGGCTGGCACTATTAATGTAAAGAAATTCCCCTGCCCATGGCAGTGGTTGGTACAAGGTCATCTTTAAGCTCCTTATAACCCAAACAATTTCATGATTTTAACATGCCCTTCATACTGAATTTAGAAACTTGAATGGCTATTAAGTAATATAGAGTTAGTTTTACACATTTGGAACTTTTTTAGATTGTAAACTGATACTGTTAGAGATCAGATTTTTTATCTTTCATGTGTGCCTTGTCAATAAAATTTGCCTGATTGTAACTTCAGTTTTTATTAAATTTCTGGTGCCTAAACATACTGTATGAACAGGTGCTTAGATGATGGTACAGTTCTTAAAACAAAAACTTGTGATCTGATTTCTTGATTCTTATGTACTATTTATACCTCTTCATGCCTATTTTTGGATGTGAACTTCAGTGTCTCTCTCTCTGTATTGTTCTGTATTTCAAAATGTCACTTAACTCCTTCAATTGCTAATTATGATTTGAGTGTTTGTGTTCCTGTGTAAGCTCTTCAGTTGTTGTACCAATGAGAGAGATGATTGAAATGCATTTATGTGGTGAATAATAGGCTTAGTAAGTGTGCCAAACATAGCTTCTGAAGAACTATAGATGAGGAGACATGTTTTTGCATCCAATTATTGTGATAGAAGAGACTTCCAAGATGTTAATCATACACTGATTGTTTACCTTGAAACTAAGGCCTTTCTTAATGAAAAGGGTGTAGTTACTACAAATACAAGTTGAGTGCAAGACTAAAGTGAATCACAGACTGAGAGAGAGCTATAAACCTAAGGAACCAGGCAGCAAACCTACTAAATTTGGTTCTAAGCCTTCTGTGGACCTATGTGTTTTTTGGTGGTTTGAGGGATTTTTTAAATTAATTTTTGGTTTGGTTTGGTCTTGGTTTGGCCTGAGACAAACCTAAGGAACCAGGCAGCAAACCTACTAAATTTGGTTCTAAGCCTTCTGTGGACCTATATGTTTTTGGTTGTTTGAGGGATTTTTTAAATTTTTTGTTTGGTTTGGTCTTGGTTTGGCCTGAGATCCTGTAACTTACAGTCAGGTAAGCCCTAGGACACTCAAACTCAGAAACCTGTCTCAGTAAAGCACACAGAGCAGAGTTTACACATGCTTGATGCTCTGTCAGCTTGTGCAAAATAATAAATGGGCAGAAGGACAGCCTGATGTGCCCTCAGAGCCTGGCTGTTAGGCTTAGCAGCCTTGACAGTGTCTGTCTATTTATGTAATTGCATGGAAAAATGAAAGAAATGGAATCTGACACAGTCCTTATCTGAAATATAGAACCTCTGACTTGGGGTAAACTCTGCCTCAAGTTGCTATCATCATGCCTTTTTGGGTGGATGCAACACTATTATGAAAATATAATACTACTACTATAAATTATTTCTTTTGTTGCTAGATTGTTCACTTACACTGGATTATGATTCTCAAAAGCAGCTACTGTATTTTAACAATAATTTCTAGCTGTGTGGGAGATGAACTGGTTAAACATATGACGTGTCCGATGTGACAGAGAGCTCTGCTGACAGAACACTTTTAGGAAGTGATGGCAGCTGATACACCAGTTAGGAGGTGGCATTTTTAAAGTCTCATTTAAAAAAAAAAGGGGGGGGGGGGGGAGGGGGGGGGGGGGGTGGTACCATTGTGTAAATACTCTAAGTGAGCTCAAGAAACCTCTAGTTAATGTCATGACTGTAAACTTGCCTGTTGAGGACTACTATATGTAGAAAGAAACCCCTCAATTTTAGCATGGTGTGAATAAAGTGTTAGACTTGTAATACTGTAGAGGTTATGTAACACTTGTCCATACATTACAAGAGTTTTCATCAACTTTCTGCAGTGGGTATTTAAAGATACTTGTGTGAAACTTCCTTCCCTAAGAACAAATACTTCTTCCAAAACTGTGTGGTGCACAGAAATGCCTTGTTGGAGGGGTAAAACATGACTTTTGAAAGAAATGTACAATGCATACGTCTTTCTCAGCTCTTGATAGTCTCATTCATATTAGATGTATGCTTCCTGTTTAATAGTGCAAGTAAGACTTCTGAATTGCAAGTTTTTATGTAATGCTGAATATTGTATATTACTGGTTTCCATGACAAGCTTTTAGTTTTGTTCTGAGCAGTGTATATATCCTGGATCACTCTAGGTCTTTGTTCAGTCTAAAGATGATATGCTATTTGTGTCACTTAAACCTTGTTTTATACACTTGATAGGTGCTTTTTGGGGCCCTTTGTTGAATAATCCCCTAGCACTGAGGCATAGCTCAGCTGAAATCAGAGCAATAACAACTTCCTGGGATCCAAAACGTTACAATGTTACATTTCTCATGCACAAAGCATGGACTTTGAACATTGATATGAATTTCAGTATGAGGTTTTTATATTCACACTTTTGGGGGAATGGTATTTTAAAATACAGGTATTGTGAGTGAATTTGTAAAAAAACCAAAATCCAGAATTTTAAAATGCTATAGTTCCATGACAGACTTGTGTACTTTTTGAAATAAAACTGTTGGAGAAAACAGTAGTCTGTCTTTATTTTAAAGCAGCACATGTATATGTCTTCAGCTTTTTCTTTATGTAATTGGAAGTGAACTAATAAATATGGCTGTGTATACCATGCTGGCATGAATAATTTTATTTATTGCAAATAAAACTTTAGATATTTTAACATATGCTCTTTTAGATGGGGTTTTTAATTGTAGGTATAGTTATACTGAAATGTAAGCCTGGAAATGAACTTTAGATTAGATTTAATCCCTCTTTATTTTAGGTAGAACCAAAAATTCCTGAAACTGATTAATGTTTTTCCTTCAAAGTTCAAACAAGCAGGTTGACAGCACTCAAAGTATGTTGATAAAATGCTTGGGGGTTTTATTGTGAGTGTGTTAATCTGCATCTCTTTCAGTTTCAATGAAGCTGACTTGGGACACTCTGCACTGCTTGTCCTTGCAAGCTAACTGATTATTGTTCTTGTAACTTTACCTGAGATTAATGTGATTTCTCCAGTGTCATCTTGGGTGGAGATCCAAAGTCTGGCATGGGCTCCATTTGCATTAATGGCATGTATTAAGTTTGTATAATTGGAGGCATAATTAACTTATATTTGCCAATGATATATGCATGTTCATATGTTATAATGCATGCCTATCTTGATATATTTGTGTTCTGGGCCAGGCCAGAGGTTCCAGTGACTTCTTTATATATATAAAAAACCCAACATATGTGTGCACAAGCATGTGAAGTTAAGTGGAGTACTGGTGGATAAGCCTCTAGGATTTTTTTTATTTTATTTCAAATTAAGAGTCTTGCTTAAATACCAAAAGAAACCTAATAAAGTGGAAGTTCAGATTTGTCTCCATAAATAGAGATCTAAGAAACCTATCTTACACTCTTTTTAACATTCATGTCAAGATTGGGAAAGGATGGAAGTGTTGAACTTAGGGTGGCAGTTTTGTCACAGATGGCTCTTGCATGCCTCAGCTGCTCCTCAGGTCTGTTATGTGGAGAATAGGTGACCGTGAACCAGAAGCTGAGTACTACTTCCAGCTTGTCTGTGGAATTCCAGCAAAACAGCTAGAACTTTCCTGAGTGTCCTGACAGAAGAGAGGGCACTCAGCACCTGATAGCTCTACGGAACCTCTGTGGTCCTTTATATGTGTGTTAGACAATGCCTTGGATAAAGTGTCATAAAAGGTCTGGCTGTTTGTTTGTTTCTCTGAGCATCTTGGCTGTGTCTTTTGAGCTTACTGCCTCTAATTTGTTTTCCTGATGTTGAGTTGTTTCAAAGCTCAGTGATAATACTGGCAATTAATTGCTAGGCTCTTTTAAAAAGCAGATAATGACAGCAACTTGGCCTTGTTTCCTATCTGAAAAATTCATAAAGCAGAATACTTTGTAAAGAAAATAGCTGATTATGTGTGTTAGACAATGCCTTGGATAAAGTGTCATAAAAGGTCTGGCTGTTTGTTTCTCTGAACATGTTGGCTGTGTCTTTCGAGTTTACTGCCTCTAATTTGTTTTCCCGATGTTGAGTTGTTTCAAAGCTCTATGATAATACTGATAGGCAATTAATTGCTAGGCTATTTTAAAAAGCAGATAATGACAGCAAGTTAGCCTTGTTTTCTGTCTGTAAATTCATAAAGCAGAATAGTTTGTAAAGAAAATACTCATTAAGTAGCAGAAGTAAGAATAGGATGAAACAAAGCTATGAATGTTGCCTACCTTTCCAAGTGTCAGTTTATTCTAAAACTACTTTTAGCTTGTTTATGACCATAGGTGATTTCTCAAAACGTGAAAACTTGCATCTTAATTAAAAATAATGTGTGTGCTTGAGTTATGATGATTCTGTTGCTTGTCCTAATTTGCTTTAGGCTTTTTATGGAATGGTGCTGGCACAGCTACCAGGAGAAGAGTATGAATCTTTAATTTTATAAAATAACCACTGGCAGAAAATACTGGCCTGGAGGATTGTGTTATCCCTGCTTCTTACTTCCATTCAAAGTCAAGTTTCTGGAAATAGGGAGCTTTTAAGTATCTTTTGATTTTTATATTGTTGGAAATCAAAGTCAGTATCACCCTTGTAAGTTGGTGTTTTGAAGACTTCAGCTTTCAGCTGTCGAAGCACTGGTCAGGTTGCTTTGGGTATGCAAAATATTTAGTGGCAGCAGCTGCAATTTGGGTCCTCATTTTTAATAAAGTTTCTTTTGGTCAATGCTGTCTAGAGAAACAGATGAAGGACAATTGTACCATATTATTTGGGAAATGAAGCAGTGCAATTCATACAGGAACCCTGCATGATGCCAGGGTTGATGGATGGATGGAGGGAGGGAGGAGAACATCTTTGTAAGGAAGTTGAGCTTGTTGATTATACAACTTGATTACGTAACCGTTTTAAAAAGTGGCAATATTAGAAGAGACATTACCAAAGATAAAATGATGTGCTTTCAGATGTTAATCTAATTTTTTCTTAGGGGAAAAACCTCTGGAGGCAGTTTGTCCGCTGGGAAGCGCAGGGAGCTGTGTGATGCCTTGACAGTTGTCCCACTTCCAGGGCTGGATGCTGTGGCTCTGGGGAGCTGCAGGCAGGGCAGAAGCTGAGTGCTGTACCTGAAGGGTATTGTACTCTCCTTCCCAGAGAATTTCTCTTAATTGCAAACTGGGCAGAGCAAAGCAGTGAGTCTAATCAGTTGCTGTGGAATGGGAATTCTGGAAGCATGCGTGAACTTTCCAACTTCTTGAAACCTTTCCCTACTCTGGTTTCTAGCAACATCTGGCTTAGGGGTCTTAACACAAAATATTTTTACATTCAGAGCTGCTATGTAGCCATCATACCTTCACTGCTTAAATTGCAGAGTCTGATACTCTGCCTACCATCCATAATTTCTGCAGGTGATGACTGGTTATATTATTACTAACAGTACTGTGTAAGGAAGCAGAAGAAACTAGATTCTCCTGAATCCTCCAAACAGGGCAAATGGTGACAGCTCAGCTCTTTGGTGCTCTGGGCACAAACATCTCCAGGGGTGCAGTGGTCACTTGTGTTAGAATTTGCTGTGAAGGAGTCCTGAATCAGGTGGTAAAGAGCTATAAAAGTAATTTAGTGCCATTAGTAAATAGCTTCCAATTATGTCAGGTTCTGTGTGAGTAGGAAAGCAACTTGAGCTTTTGTTTCTTGTGGCCAGTTACTGCTGTACAAGTGAAACAACACCTCTCTACAACTTGTGACTTGTCCTGGTTAGTGATTTGTAATTGAGACTATTCCCATCCAGGGATCTGAATCTCCCTATTTTGTGTCACTAGGTAATATTTCACCTGTGAAACAGTAGGTGGGACTAGTCAGATTTCAAGGAAGTTCAATTGTGCAGCAGAGCATTTGTTCCCAATG